AAAGTTTACCAGTCCTCAAAATATTGGCAATACAAAGACCAGATATTTATACAAATAGTGAATATTTAGCATGCAACATTGGCATAGTAGAGACCCAGGATCACCTAGCTAAATGCGATCACTATAAATTAATGTAGCAAAGTATCGAGACTACAACTCTGGATCTGGTATGGTCCAAATTTATGAAAGAAGAAAAGAAGAGATGTCCGAAAAATCTCTTGTCTAAAATTCTAATTGGGGAGACCGACTCTGATAGGCAAGAAAATAAAAAGCTATGAATTAAAGGCCTAACTACATTGGACTCATTTAATAGTATTTTAAATTTTCAAATTTCATTAAAAACGACATCCTATATTATGGAACTTGCCACGCATATAATTTGGAACAGCTTTTATGATTTTATTTGGAAAGACAGATGTATCAAGATTGTCAATTGAGAAAAGAATCATAATATAAAGAAGAAGGATAAAAGAATTAAGAAGACCAAAGAAGTTCGGCCAAAGAAGAATACTTTAACTATTCGTAAAGAAAAATCTAAAAGAGAAGAGGTTGAAATATTTGCAAAGGATAAAGAGAAGTACAATGTATAGTATGATGTGGTAGGGAAGTGAATGCAAAAGGGTGTAAATCTCTTTTGAACAAGCTCTTAAAAGAGTCTATTTCTAGCTTATCCGTAAGCCAGTGCGATAGGTTGCGCCCAAGTAATTATTAGATAACCAGGTGGAGTTGGGCTTTTATTTAGTTTTAGAAATTATATATATAGTTTATATATACTAAAAACTAAGAGTTCGAGTCATAACAAGATCTGTCAAAGAATAAAAAAAAAAAAAAAAAAAATTGTATTTTTATTATAAGACAAAAATTTTAGATTGCTTATAAGCTAAAAATAGCCAATTTTAAAAAATTTTTTAACTAAAAAAATAATTTACAATTTCTTGACAAACTTTTTAAATATTAATTTTAAAAATATAGTTTCTAATACAATATTGTAGTTTATATAAAGGATTACAACTTTTATTATTGCAATTTTAGTAATTTACTTATAAAAATTAAAACTTGTCTTAAGAGTAAAGAATTTTGGATGTTCTATAGAATAGGTGGGCAAACTTTACAAACTTTACAACTCTGCTAAATATTTATTAATAATTACTAATTATTAGTGGAGTTTATTTTATATATTGCTTATCTATTTTATAGAACATCTAGAATTTTTTTAAAGATGAAAAGGATTTTGTTAAAAAGTGCACTGTGTACTTAGTGCACCCCTCTATATCTTAAAATTTTACTAGAATAATCCTGTTATATAACTAAGTAAAAATATTCCTCTTACTTTAACTTAAACCCTAACCCAAACATTAACACTAACCCTAACACTAACACTAACTCTAACTCTACTATTTTATCTGCTTATTTACTATTAAAAAACAGGAGTGCACTCAGTGCATGGGTATACTTTTTAGTTTTTTTTCTTTTATTATACTAAAGTTTTTTAGTAATTTTAGAAAATTTTCTTAATAAAGTTTATAAAACAAATCTAAAATTGAATATTTTACTTAGAAAATATATAGCTAAAATCAATATTTAAAATTTTATTAAAAAATTAAAATTTTAAAAAAGTTTGCAAACAAATTTGGCTGCAATACAAATTAAAAGATAGTAAATTGCAACTATATATTTTGTTTATTGTTAGATATAGTGCTACTCTATATGTCAAGATCTTTAGCTAAAAAAATATCCAAAGACAGTTTTATAGTTAAAAAAAATTTATATATTAAGACAAAGCTTTATAGTAGAAATATATAATATGAGGTGAAGTTAATAGAAAAGAAACAAATCATTTTTAGTAAAATTTTTTTAATTTTCAAATTAAAATATCTCAACAACTAATTAATCAAATTTGCTCAAAATTTTTTTATTTTAATTTTGAAATTATAAAGAATTAAAATAAAAAAATAATTATTAAATTTGATAAGATAATTGCTGAGATATTTAAGTTTAAAGTCAAAAAAACTTTTATTTAGAAAAATTTTGTTACTTTTTATTAACTCCACCCCATATGTTGTAATTGTTATATAATTTTATCTGTCTAGCATAGAGTATAGTCAAGGTTGGGCTAGACATTGAACATAAATATTGGACAACTTTTGTCTAGTCTAGTCCAATCTATTGGACCAAAAAGTATTGGACATTGAATATTGTATAATATATAAATTATGTGACAAATAGCCAATTAAAAATCTTCACATTATTATACCAAAAAAAGTCATAATCACGTGATAAAGGTAATATTTATAAAAAGTTAGTTAAGTTTAAGGTTAGCATTTATATTAGGGCTAGAAATTAGTGAAATATATATAGTAAAATCACCCAAGGAAAGCTTTTTGTTAGACTATATTTTTACCAAAGATTTTTTTATATTTTTTAAAATTATTAGACATATTGAACTAAACATATATCCAAGTATTATGTCCAATGTCTAGTCTAGTCCAATAGTATAAAAATAGTTAGATATACTGTATGTCTAGTGCCAACACTGGGTGTAGTATTGCTGTTTTGTTTTTATAGAAGAATAAAACTTTATTTTGTAATCTATCTTTTTTCTATAAATATTTTTTATTTTTATTTTTTTAGAGTTTTTTAATTTTATAAGCTATTTATTTTCCTTTTTTAAGCGATTTTACTTTTATTTATATAAACTAATATGTAACTATTATACAAAAGTATTATATCTTTGTAGTGTATTATTCTATTCTAATAAAAATTTACTAAAAAAACTCCTTCTGATAATCATTTGCACCAAAATTTTCTACTAAAAAGAAACCCAGTTTTGTTAAAGAGTTATGGTCTAATATAGCAGTTTGTCTAAAGGTTAACATTTTCTGTATGCAGAATTTCTCTATAAATAACATTTGGTATACAAGTTAAGTAACTGGCAGGAGGTGATGCCTTTGTATAAAAAATCATAGTAGAAAGATGAATGTCAAAAAGCCTCTGGCCTTCTTTATCAATGAAGCTCTTAAGTTGTTACTTTAAAGAAGAATACAAGAAAACAACAAATAATATTTTTTTCAAGCTGCACTTCTTTTTCTTGATCAAGTGGTTTCTCTTTTACCTATTCTTGCCTTCCTATCAGTCTTTCAAAAAATTTTTAACAAAAAGTGGGGATTTGGCTTACTCTTTCCAAAAGATCAGTATTGTTTATATTTTAATTTAGAACAGTATAGTAGATTGTAACCATGTATTTAATGGATACAGTACTACTATTTAGAATTAGGCCCCAGGCAACAAATTTCTAATAATGGTAGCAGATAGCTTAAAATACAGATTTATAGATGGTGATAGCACTTGGCTTAAGACACAAATTAGAACAGGCTGAACAAAACTATCTGAAGTTAGTCAAAAAGAAAATTGAACAATAAGGTGAAGCTTTATAAGAGAGATATACAATCATTATAGTTGTTATATAATTTTTAGTAACTATATATAGGTTATAAATAGTGCCTTTAGGATTTTAGATTTCTTTTTATATTTTTTCTTTTTCACAATTAGTATTTTTTTTCTTTTATTTTTTAGTTACTCTTTTTGTTAAAATTTCTTCTTTTTTGTTTTGTGTCTCTTGAAAAGAAAAAAGAATTAGAAGAGAAAAAGAGATTCTGGCACAGTATACAACAACCTGTCAATGATCTTTAGATATTTTATATATAATACAAAATTTGAAGCAAGTTTTGAATTCTGAAAAAGACTAATAATTGTTATAGTAAGTCATATTGGATATTATGCTTGGTAAGTCTTTATTAGATTAGAACAATAAGCAGAAGATGTTTGTATATATATCTTTTTGTAGTTTATATGAATAAAGACAGGATTATTTAAAAAAAAAAATAAAAAATAAAACTCACCAGGCTATTTGCCCAATGCAATCTACTATGACAACTGTTTATCTCTTTTAGGATTCTTAACTTACTAAGAATTTTGTTTATTTGTTTATTTCTTTTCTTTTTTTATTTTCTTTTAAAAATAATTTTTTTGTTTATAAAAGCTTTGATAAATCTAAATTAGTTTGTAGACTAGTATAACAAGTTACACTTGAGTAACAAAATATAAGCCAAGTAAAATTAGACATAGTTTTAGAGAATTGTATAGTGATAAATTTAAAACTTAGCTCTAGTTATAATACATAGTATAGTATTCAATAAAGTTATAGTAGAACAACTAAAGTTTTTTTTTTAAAAAAAATAACTTTATTATTATATCTTTAGTGATTTACTAATAAAAATTAAACCTTGTATTAGAAGCAAATTTCTTTTTTTGAAAACAAATATAAAAATTTGAAAAATTTTTAAAAAAATTTTATAGTAAAAATTTTTAAAACCAAGCTTTGAATAGAATATGGTTTAAATATACTATTGTATATATAAAATATACCCCATATCATTAATAGTTTGATTTTATTTAAAAAATTGTAAATACTTTTTAAAATTCTAAGCAAATTTGTCTGAAAAACAGTTTAAGGGATAATGTAATTATGTATGTATCATGATTACTAAAATTTAAAAAAATATAATAAAAAATTCTGCAAAAGTGATCAAATAAAAAAATTTTTTTAATATAATATCTAATAAATTCGAATTTATATAGCACTATCTTTCTTTTTTAAAAAAATATATTCTCTGATAAAAATCAAAATTAATCAATCAGAGAAATATTTTCAGTTTCAGCAAAATTTTAACATAACAGATAAGATGTTAATGTTTTAAAAAAAGGTTTAAACCACATTACAAATCGGCCGTTAGCCAATCAAAATCGAAGATCTGCCGCGCATTTTTTGTGCGGCACCTAGGTTCAATAGAATAATGCAAGTTTTCCTCTTCCACCAACCATATCTCAGCCACGTATATTTTCTGCTTATGTTTTTGAGATAAGATTATCTAGAATCTTAATCACATGATAATACCTTTTTATCATCGAAATGTCACGTACGAAAGCATTCAATTTTTGCCATGACTATTCTGGCTTCTCGTTTACTGTTAAGCCAAACACCATTATTATCTCTTTCAACAAAAAGATATGCTCCGGTATTTTTTTGCTGAGCAAATTTCGACAAGCCCGGATTTTCAGAGTCAAAAATTTTAACTTTTATAAATATTTTCACAGCGAATATCCAATATACTCTACTTGAATCAGAAAGCATATAATTCATATGGAAATAGTGATGAATACGCGGCGTTTCTTGGCCCATTTCCAGAAACTCGAAAAATACCTCGAAACACAGTGAGCATTCTTAATTCAAAAGTACACTAACTAAGTTGATTATTTATTAATGGCATATTTTTATAGATTATAAATTTCGTTCCACAACAAGAAGCGTGGATTATAGAGCGATTTGGAAAGGTTTTTTTTTTTTGTAAACACTATCAATTTTTTTAAAGAGAATAATATTAATTTAAATTATTAGTTTGACCGACTTTTACAACCAGGTCTGGCTATTGTGATTCCATTTATCGAACGAATAAAGTACATTAAGAGTCTTAAAGAAATTTGTTTAAACATTCCAACTCAAAGTGCTATAACGCAGGGTTTGATAATCCATCAATTTATTTAAATCGAGAAAAAAATCTCGTTTATTCAATCTAATATTTATTTCTTTTTTACTCAGATAATGTTACACTAGAACTTGATGGTGTATTATATATAAAAGTCGTTGAACCATACAAGGTATCAAACTCTTATTCGTATATTATCTGAAACTCTTGAAATTTGTCTTTCTGTGTCTCTGTTTTCATATAAATTTTATAGGCGTCTTATGGTGTTGAAGACGCCGAGTATGCAATTGCACAATTGGCCCAGACAACAATGCGGGCCGAAATTGGTCAAATGACCTTGGATAGGACATTAGCGGAACGTTCTCATTTAAATGCAAATATAGTTGATGCAATTAATAGTGCTTCAGAAGATTGGGGTGTCAAATGTTTAAGATACGAAATACGTGAGTAAAATTCTCGAGTTATATATATATATATGCATACGTATTCTAATTGAGATAATCTAAATTTATATTTCTTCTGATAAGGTGACATTAAACCACCTGAAAAGGTTGTGGAGTCTATGCATTCTCAAGTATCTGCTGAGAGATCCAAAAGGGCTTCTATATTAGAGTCTGAAGGTCCGTCATTATATTTGATCATGACTTTTAAATTTTGTAGAATATGAAACATATTTGAATTTAACTTTAGGTGCGAGGCAAGCTGCTATTAATGTTGCAGAAGGTTCAAAAGAATCTGTGATATTGGCTTCACAGGCTGAAAAAGCTGAACAAATAAACAAAGCTTCCGGTAAAATTAATTATTTTAACTAGTGTTTGTTTCATTTAATGTTTAAATAACATTTATTTTTTTAATTTTCTCAGGTGAGGCCGAAGCTATTCTTCTTCGTGCTAATGCTACCGCTGAAGGTATTCGGCGAATTGCTTTAGCTATAGAAGAAAAAAATGGACCTGACGCAGTTGCGCTCATCGTGGCTGAGAAATATGTAGAGGCCTTTGGACAACTCGCTAAACAAGGCAATTCTATAATTGTGCCAGCTTCTGTTAGCGATGCTAGTTCAATGATTGCTCAGGTATCCATAAGGATGATCTGTTTTTATTGTTTTGGTTGACAAGTTGTTTACCCTTTCTTTTTTTTTTTATATATTAGGCTATGTCTATATATAGCACTGTTTCGAAAAAAGATAAATTAACTCCCTAAAAAAGTGAATAAAAGTTGAAGATTGAGAAGTTTCACAATAAATCTTAAATAAAGATGTGTAAATAATCACATGATATTATATTTTTATAATAAAAATATTAAAAACACGACCAAGTTTTCCTCGTAGGTTGCATCAATTTAAATATTTAACAGAAATAATAATTTTAATTATTTATGTTTATCGGACTGTTTAAACAATGTTAAACACGCCAAAATTGCTAATACATCTAATAAAAAGAATCTATTATTCTGGGAAATGTTCGCTCAACCAACGTTCACATTCTAAAGCGGCCATGCACCCGGAACCTGCACTTGTGATCGCCTGCCTGTATCTCTTGTCTTTCACATCACCCGCGGCGAAAACACCTTCTACATTCGTACAAGTACTATCTGGTTTAGTAATAACATAACTGTCTGCATCTAATTCCAATTGTCCTTTAACCAAATTAGTAGCTGGTGCATGACCAATCGCATAGAACATACCATTTACTGGCAACTCTTTTATTTCACCAGTTTTAGTGTCCTTCGTAATCACAAGATTTAGTACATTTCCATCACCCTTGCATTCAATAGGAATAGTATTCCAGAGCACTGTAATTTTTGGATTTGAGAGCATTCGATTCGCCATCACTTTTGATGCCCGAAGTTGGTCTCGACGGACTAATACATATACATGTGAACCATATTTTGTAAGAAACATAGACTCCTCAGCGGCAGAATCTCCACCACCAATTACTGCCAGAGGTTTGTTACGGAAAATAGGTAAAGCCCCTTTTAAAAATAATATATGTATTAAATACTATGTGACACAGGCAGACAAATTAGACACTAGTTTAATTACCATCACAAACCGCACATGCCGAGATTCCTTTTTGCCAGTATATCTCTTCCCCAAGAAGATTCAACCTCTTTGCAGCTGCGCCAGTTGCAATAATAAGTGCATCTGCAGTATCTGGTTCTTTATTTTCGAAAGTTTCACGCCAAATTTTAAATGGACGCGCCGAAAGATCAACTTTTGATACAGTTTCGGTATAAATTTTTGTTCCAAATCTGATACTTTGTTGGCGAAACTTTTCCATCATTTCTGGACCCATAATTCCCTCAGGAAAGCCGGGATAATTTTCTACATCGGTAGTCGTAGTAAGCTGTAAGTTACAGAAGCATGTAAACGCGAGATTCCTTAAATATCAACACAATTCAGTTTAATAAGCCAGGGATGATCTGTACTTGACCGCCGGGGGCAAAGCCGTTCGCATTAAATCCTTCAAACATAACCGGTTCAAGAGTTGCTCGGGACAAATAAAGAGCTGCAGTATGTCCCGCTGGACCTGAGCCTATAATTACAACCTTGGAGTGCATGCTTCTTTGGACTGTTAAAAGACGTTTTTTACTTGCAAACGTAAGTCTGGAAAGCAACGACATTTCAATAAAATTATTTTGGCAAATTTATAAGGAACCTTTTATGTTGTGTTACAGCAAAATTTATATATATTGATAAAGCTAATAACAGGGGGAAACGTTGAAACGTCACAAAATTGTTACACAATTGATAAAAAATTTTTTTATATTATTTTACAAT